GTTGGAAACTTGGTAATACAATTACATTGGGATTCCTACTGTTAGAATTTAGTACTGACGAAGTGAGTAGTAATTAAGTGAGTACTAATGGAATAAGTACAAATTGATGAATGGAAATTAAAACATGAACTCTAAATTTTGAGTTTAGTCGTCAAACTCACTTTTTCAGCCATCTCTGTATAACCTTAGAAATCTCATTTGAAAATATTTATTTAATCTACCTATATACATCTCATTCGTCTTAGTAGAAGTGGATTAGGAACTCTTCAACGCAGAACAAAGATACTGAAATCTCAAAAATAAAACAGAACAACATATAGATACATTTTCCCAAAACCAATCTAAGAAGAAGAAAGCCACACAAATCAAACACTTTTTAAAAAGAGCTTGCAATTTCACCATCATGCGACATCATTGTGATATTTCCTTTTAACTTCTTATATCAGAAATGAAATAAAAAATCCTATTTGATAATGATTTTCGTATCCTAAAGGGTGCTTTTTCTAATAGTGTATTTGAAATTAAATTTATTCTTGATTTTTTTTTTGACAAAATATAGCAATTTTCTAAAGAGACTGTACCACTTGGTCATTCTTATTAACTGACCGTTTTGCAACAACAAAAAATATTTTTTGAATCGTTTTGTTCTGGTAAGTTTCTATGATCTGATAGATTTTCAACAAATACACACAAAGAATTCAATTCATGCATAGTTTTTGAAGATTCTTGCTGGTTTACTTTCGAATTATCGTCGTTGCAAAACTGGTTTACAAAAAAACTTCAATTTACCAAAAGTGACTTTAGTTAAACTTTTGATGAACTACAGTTTAGTGAATTTTTCTACTAGAATTCTGTTCATATAGCTCAAAATAGTTGATAAAGAGGAATTTTTCAAGTTGCAAAAACTTTGCAAGAACTTTTATAGACGTGCTTAGTGTCTGGCTTTGTCTCCTTTTCAGATTCATTGTAAAAAAATTTGTCTCATACAAAGATTGTAGTTCAGACATTGATCTTTCTAACAAAACAAAAATTCCTTGATTTCGAAGTTGGCAATATGGTCTAACGTAATGTGACATTTTTCGAATGAGTTTTGAACCGCTTATTAATATCTTGTTGAAATTATATAGAGCTATGTATGTTTCATTTTGTAAGGAATTGTTAAATTAAAGCGAACTTCAGACAAACATAGTAGATACTAAATTGCGCTAGTGTTTGAATAAGGTAAGGTCAATCAAGCGAATGTTTAATAATTTTGTTTATTTTTCTCGTTATTTCACAGATTTTTATGACATGTTATCAAATTTTACTCATCATTTACCGTTGTGTAAAAGTTGTCTGCTCCGTCACTTCAACCACTTCGGGGCAGACCCTATGTAATTCTTCTCATATTTGGTCATATAGCGCAAATTCAGATCATATTACGTTGCAAATCATGCTTTACAGTTGTTCGTTTCGTATTGTACTAATATTTGATACATGTTATATCGAGTGCAAGAAATATCTTCCGAGTTATTGCTCCGCTAATAATAAATCTCTACTTCATTTTAATCCTTCCGTCTTGCTTCATTATTTGTCTATACTGCAACGTGTTATTTTCTTTTTTCACGACCTACAATGCAGTGAAAAATGGTTTCAAGTGCACTACGCGAATTTAAAATGACTTAAGAAATGTGATTGGTGTTGCTAAGGGAAAAACCAATCAAATTTCTGAATTAGCTTGAAATTTTCGTATTCTGTTTGAAGTCAATAAAAACTTAACGCTTCGTACATCTTGTAAGTTAACACTAGATCTAACTCAGCCATCTATCTGCTTACTTCCTTTAATAACATTGTTCGCATGAGATGGCAATTACTAATATAAATAATATTTTCATTGTGTCACTGAATTTAGGTCATAAAATATTTTTTAATCGACAATTCAGTCTTTCCAATATTGCCTGTATTTCAATGACTATGTGTAATATATAGACGAAATTAATGTAAGTCGTAAAGAAAACACAGACAAGTTTTAAAAAAAATGTTGTTCTTTCATATAACATAATTAATCAATGTTGATTCGCATATGAATCAAGTTGCCTTTCATGTGATCCAAACTATTGATCAAACTAAAAGGAATTCTTCATACTTGCTTTTATTTATTAGTTTTATTTTTTATCATCGTTTCTTGTTCTTACATTTTTGTGCAGTCAATTTAAAATTATCTTTCATCTATAGATAAGAATTTTTATGCTAGACAAACTATTAGTTGTCTTTTTGAATATTAAGATGAAGTTCATGAAGACTGACAAAAATTGCCGGTAGTGCATGCTTTTAACTACCTCTAACACTGTAATACTATAATAGCATAACAAAAGAAAGAGGAACAAATATATAAATGAGTAAGAATGCATTTTGATGAATAGTGATTGTGAAAAATTAATCATAGACGAATGATTAGGAAGTAAGTAACACAAATTACATCCTTCAAAAATAACTATGAATGCTACATTGAACCGAAAATAATTTCATACTATTTTATGTACCCACGTTATGACATAACATTATCAAAAAATATGAATCATTCTATATCAAATAGATTACTGTCAAATGCCATTTTTGACAATTAGTAATTGCCAATTTTCTGCATTTTCCTACATAAATTACCAACAATTATTGGTTAAAAGTATTAATTTTTCTTCATAAAAAGCATTACTCATGTTATTTTGCTTAGTTAATATGCTTTAAGACAACAATGAATCGTGACATCGAAATATATATTCCCGATAGGTATATTAACCTTTCCATTGGTGCTAACCAGAAAGAAACATTTTATTCAACCGGTCATATTTCTTTTATGATTTACTTTTCTTCTATTCACTTCTTTTCTCAGGTTTCTTTTTTTTTGAGTGAATGTCTAAATTAAATAATTTTCTTACTATTTTGAAAACCCAAATGAGAATTCTATTAATGAATTTGGACATAACAACAACGATTAAAAACTCAGCATTGATTTGTTGTAAAAGAATCGTATAATGTTTTTCAATGTTAGTGTTGTCATTTTCATTACTCTTACCGTTGCATAACTTTCACAACAAATTTTGAAATATCAACTTGATAAACATGAGAATCCTATAGAAATCTTAAGTCGTTTGAAATTCTCCTAAGAAGAATTAAATTCGTTGAACACGAAGATTTCATATAATCATAAAATAAATTAAGTGATTATCATGGAAATAGTAAAACGTAGTTTTTGATGTTGAATCTTAGAACAGTTGTTTTTGCTATCCATATAGCAATAACGATTTGTTTCTTTTTCGTTGTGATGAAAACAATTAAGCTTTTTCTGATTACTCATCTGTGTGAAATTAATAATTCCAAAATCATGACTGTACGCTTACTAATTTTCTCCAGAATATTTCTTTTTTTTTCTTATCGCTATCATATGATTCATACTCATTTTAGTACAAAGCCAAAGCATATAACTGCAGTACTACATTAATAGATTATTTTTAGCATTATACATTTTTCTCTGACAACGTGGTCCCTAAATGATGATTCAGATAGGCATCGAATATATAATGTGAATTCGATTCTTATAAACCATTGTTCTTTCGAAAGAATCATTTATCGGTTTGTAATTCACTGTGTGGCTTTAGATCACTTTTGTCACTAATAGAGATGTAAAAAGGGAATTATGTCTTAGTTTTTTTTTCCAATTTAATCAAATTAGTAAAGCAGGAAGTATGAGGATTAATCATTGACATACAATCTATCCTAGGTTATTAAAAAAGTATTATTGTCGATAATTGATATTGATAAAAAGTTTACTTAACGTTTTACTCTCTTGTTATTTATTCATTCGTTGAACATATCAAAATTTATTTTGAGTTATCCATTGTTAAAATTCGAAAATAGATGTCGACATAAAATTATAAATTCAGTAACTACTAAAAGCAAAAAAAACAGAAATTCTTCATCATTTTGCCATGGTGATACCAAAATAGTTTTGTAAATTGAATTTTAGAATTGTTTATTTACTTTTGTCGCTAATTTTTCTTGCATAAGTAATGTCGCCGAACTAGAACATCATTTTAAATGAAAATAAACAATAATATTAGTGCATGATAGTTTCCAACAGATAGAAGCATACGTTTTAAATATATAGAATATTGATGTCACGAATTATGACAAATTCCGAGGAAGAAGCTGATAAGTGACGATATTTTTTGATGAGTAGTATAATGATGAATCAAGACATGAAGGTTCTAATTGCGTCTAGACATCTATCGTTTACCCAACTCTTCTCTGTATTTTTTCTTCGAGAAACACTCGTGACATTTACGCCTTCACATACATGAAAAAAGTCAGATATGAGTGATCAGGGGTGTCCCGATGGAGGGTTGTTGGAGCCGCGATGCCCCCAATAATCGAAAATTTTGTTTTTTTTGGTCAATGATTTTCGAAAATCTTTTAAAATCTGTAAAAAATTTTCGAAAAAAGTCATCGACGTCTCCTCCCCCCAATACTTTCCGTCCCCGAACCCCCCCTGTGAGTGATTCAAAACTAAAATTAGTCAAATGAAATATTCTGATTGATTCGAAAGAAACTATATAAAGTTATTCTAGTTCTTATTGATGTACAGTTTCAGATTAGTACAGACTCACTCCTTTTCTACTCTCAAGACATAATGTTCGAATAACATGATTGATGGCAGTGTCGAAAGAAGCACATATTTCATTTGGAGGACTGAAGATAAATAATACAAATACTATTAATACTAATCTATTTTGTGAATTATGTAAATTATTGCTGCTTGAACCTATACAACTTTTATGTTGTGGTACGCGTTTATGCCGATGGTGTTCAAAGAAAGGCATACCAGAGAGGTGACTATTTCTCAGTTATATTTAAATATTGCTCATGCTGAAGAATATGTTTGTATATAGTGAACCATTTATTTGCTTATTTTGTCATACGAAACAACCAAACAAGCAGGTATAAATTATTCATTATTTCTTTGTATGAAAACAAATTTTATTGTTAAACAGGCACTTGCTGACCGAGGAGCTGAACGAGAATTAATGATGATTAAAATTGATTGTTATTCATGTTCTTGGAATGGATTATACAATGATTATAAAGTATTTCATTTCTTTTCAAAATCTCGATAATAACTTCTTAACATATGAAAAAATTGTTTAATTCTTAGGAACATCTCGGACAAATACATGCATATTTAGAATGTAGTAATTGTCATAAACATTTTTTTTCGACAAATCTATATGAAGAACATCTCCAAGAGCTTTGTGAAAATCGATCAGTACAGTGTGGATTACCTGGTTGTATTGAGCGAGTATGTTCTACTGTCATATTTAGTAATTTTGAATGATTATTTCTTTGTCATTAGATAAAATGGTCTGAAATAGGAAAGCACTTCTTATGTGAAACACATCAGAAAATATTACTTGAAGTTATTACTCAATATTTTTTTCTGAAAAAATGTTTAGCTAATAATGTTAATTGCTCGACAACTACATTTAACGTTGTTAGTAATATAGAACAAGAACTGACTACTGTTCAAGAAAATATTAATACTCTTCTACCAGGAGTAGAAAATTCTTTGAATAATTGTGCAAGATTGAAATCTGAACATGATCAAATCAAAGCAACATGTGATAATTTAACTTCACAAAGAACTACAGTAAGAAAAATGATCCAAGACGGTAATGAAATAACTAATAAATATATACAAGAGCAAAACGAAATGGAAAAACAGATAGATCATATTAATAAATTACAAATCATTACGAAGACTTTTACATTAGATAGTGATAGTACAGCAACATTTGCTTTTATTAAACATTCTCACGAAATGAATGTACCATTTTCAATATATTCGCCAAGATTTAAAACATCACAGTTTGGATATTGTTTTATGATCCGCGTATGTTCAACTATCATATCTGAAAATGAAAATCAAGAATATTTATCAATTTACATAACATTACTTCGTGGAGAGTTTGATCCAATCCTTTTGTATCCATTTCCTTATAACATATATCTATGTTTATGTGATCAATCAAACCAAAGAAAACATATTGTATCAATAATTAAAGCTGATGCAAATAAATTATCATTTATGCGCCCAACAAGCGAGAAGAATGATGAAGTTGGTATAATTAAATTTTGTCCATTGAATTTTCTCAAAAATGGACAAAATAATTATTTAAAAGATGATATCTTTTTCATTCGAATATTTATCGACTTCATGAATAATGGAATAAATCCTTTTAATGTGATTATTGAAAGATCTAACATAAAGTGAAGATGTTCTGTCGTATGTTCGCTATTATGATTCTATTATGAACTTTTCGATCTATTAACGTTTTTATTCAAGACAAAACGGACAACGTGCTATGACTAAAACCTGCAATAATTTTTGTATATTTTACTGTAGAATTAATAGTTATAGTCTATTTAGAACTCAAGATTTCATTCTTCTTTTTCTGCGCTAAATTTTGAACGTGTTTTTATTAACAAATATTCTTATCTTATTAATTAAATCAAAGAAAAAAACAAATTATTGGAAAAGTTCAATAATCCTTTTCAATTAACTCATCATAGAGGTGATGGGAAAGGTAGAGAAAAAGTCTGTCTCATTATTCTCCACCCATGGACTCTCTACGAAGTCCAAAGCTTTGATTCAAACTGGAAAACAAATTAATGAAATCAACAATGAAAATAAAAAAGTAGAACATTCAGACATCAATACAAATACCAACACATTAATAAAAAAATCAGATGAAAGTGAAAATGATGAAGATTGGGAAACAGTAGGTTATAAAAAGGCGAACAAAGTTCAAAAACGAAAAGCTACAACAACATCAACAACAAATCACTTATTCAGACGTGACTACTGAAGGAGTTCATTCATACTTTTCATTTGGAAAAGCTGAAGCAAAACTTAAACCATTATCTACTAAAAAGAACTTTCAAGGACTACGAAGAACACAAGCACAATATCCGATAAATGCTTCGCTGAACAACAATATTAATGCAAGAAATAACCAATTACATCTACCACCATTCAAAATAGAATTTGAAAGTCAGCAAAAACTACCAGAAATACAAGTGTTAAATGATCTTGTTAAACAAAATCATAAATTAAATATCAATACAGCGTTTTATTCCAAATATATTCAATCACATAATGTACTGTTACTATTTGCAAATGATTCATCAACTTATGAAATGCTTTTCGATAATAGTTCATGGCAAAATTTTATTTGTAATTTATCATTCAAAGTTACTTTGCCTCGTCGAATTCCTGTTTCATATTCTGTTATTGTAAATCGCATTCCTCGTGAATGGAATGTAGATACAATTCATCCTCTTATTGCTGAACGTTATACATCAACAGATCGTGTTACAAGAATATTTCGTGATGATCAACCTACTACTAAAGTTCGAATAGATTTTCATTCTCAAGATGATGTTAATTTGATTCTTAAAAACGGCTATATTTACATAGATAGCATCCGGTATACAGCAACAACTTATAAACCGCTTACTCAAATTGATCGATGTTTTAAATGTCAGCAATTTGGGCATAAAATTCATAATTGTATGAATGAACCAAAATGTTATAAATGTGGAGAAATTCATGCTTACAATCCAAATTGTTTAAATCCTATTAAATGTGCTAATTGTGCAGGTTCTCACATAGCAGGAGCACCTCAATGTCCGGCTAAAATATCTTATCGCAAAAATCAACAGCAACAACAGACTACAAGCATGATTTCTAAATCTACAGCTATTCCTTATCTACCTTCTTCAGCTCGCCTATATTCAACTGTTTTGAAACCAATGTCATCTCATGTTAATTCCAATACACAAGCTACAGCATTACCTGAACCATCAAAATTCGAACAAACTGATCAACCATCTGTCATTATTAAAACACTAAAAGACGAAATTACTAAATCACACGATATTCTCATAGACAAAATCTTGTGTATTGAACAAAAATCTGACTTAGCTATGCAACAACATCTTTCTTCACTTCAAATGATTGAAACTCAAATTGTACCTTATTTGTTCTCTATGTCGGAATTGCTGGTTAATGTATATGATAAATTAAGTGAAAAGAAAATAATTCAAGCAACTGACCAACAAAAAACAAAACTTTCTTGTCTACGTGCTCTTTCCAGAGATGTCCATCGCGGCGCTGCCGCGCCGCCGCCGCTGCCGCTGCCGCTGCCGCGGTGGCGGTGGCGGCGCGGCAGCGGCAGGTTTTTAAAAAAAATCACCGCGGCAGCGGCGCGGTAGCGGCAGATTTTTTTAAAAGTCATCGCGGCAGCGGCGCGGTAGCGGCAGGTTTTTTAAAAAACCATCGCGGCAGCGGCGCGGCAGCGGCAGGATTTTTTTTGGAGGACATTGAAAAACTGTATGAATTTAATGGAATTTCACGATTTACAAATGAAACGCCCTGATATTGAATAAATCTGATGGACTAGTACCCATATCTCTGGTCAAATATAGTCACAGCAGTGAAATTAGAAACACTTTTTTGAAAATCGTCGCGGCAGCGGCGCGGTGGCGGCACGTTTATTTTATAATTCATCGCGGCAGCGGCGCGGCAGCGTTTCTTTTATAAGTCATCGCGGCGCGGCAGCGTCGCGGCAACATTTTTTTATAAACCGCCGCGGCGCGGCAGCGGTGCGGCAGCTTTTTTTTTCTAAGGCCGCGGCGCGGCAGCGGCAGATTTTCAGCCGCGATGGACATCTCTGGCTCTTTCAACTACTCATAAAACATCATCACTATCACATGTTACTTCGAATACATCTATTTCTTCTCCACTTCTTATTCGCACTCAGGCTCAATCAAATTTATGTTCATTGACTACACCTACATGTAATCAGCCACATTCAACCTCTTTATCACAACTATCACTCGAATCGAATCTCAATAAAAACTTATTTTTACAAAATGATTATTTTCAATGATGAATCCACATGCAACAGAATTTGAACCTTTGACGAATCTCCAAACCAGAAAATCTTTAAATTATGATGAATCTTTTTTTTCTTTTTATTTAAGCTCGGATTACCAAACTCGGAAAGCTCAGTCAATACTCTATGAATGGCAAACATCACTTTCATTATCAGCACTTACCCAAGATTGGTCCACTCGTCATACATCCAAATCATCTCACCAATCTTCCTTCTCCTTGTTGCTTTATAACATTAGTAGTTTATCTATTCACTTAGAAGATCTCATTCAATATATTTGTTCATACTATCCAACTGTATGGGCCTTAACTGGTCTTCATTTTAACAACCACGTTAATTATCGATTAGCTAGCTTCTTCAAATCTCACTATACTATATATTTTCAACATGGATCAAATAACTTCGGTGGCGTTTGTTTAGCCATTGCTCATCAGATACGTCACCAATGCATCTCTCAAGTCAGTCACATCGAGAACTTGATTGCTATTGGCATCTTCAACAAGAGCCAACGATACACTCTTGTCGTTCTTTATATACCACCTTCTGAAAATTTACCTACTTTCACTCTTAATCATTTGTACGAACGTAATTCTAATTTAATTCTAGTCGGTGATTTGAATGCTCGACATCCTCAATGGTATGATGTGACAACGAACATGAACGGCTCTCGACTGAGTGAATGGATTAATTCACTGCCAAATCTAAAAATATATAATGCTTCACAACCCACATCAACCCGATCCCAAACCATTATTGATCTGATCATAGCCCCACATCAAATATCATCAGAAATTTCTGAAGTCGACCAAACTATGTAAGTGACAGATCATTATCCTGTTCACTGGCAAATCACATCATTTTTCTTCAATAATATGAATTCATATGAATTGAAACATATCGACTGGAAACTGATAAGTTGCATTTTAGATTTAAAACAAACATTTTTCTTTAATTTAGCTCAACATATGAAAACTACACCAACTGAGTTCATTCTTCTTGATGAAAAATTTCTTGTTGCCTTACAAGAACGCTGTACTGATTATCATCTGATTAAAAAATATCGAGCAAGTCTACCACCATATCTCGTTAATATCATTAAATACCGACGTAAAATGCTAAATCTTTATCGATTGACTAACGCGAATGACCATCGTCTTTCGCTTGCTTCTCTAAATCGATACATTCAATATGAATTAAGAGCAGTTAAGAAAGCTCCATTGCAAGAATTTTGTTTCAATCTCGAACCACAAAATACTCAACGATTTTGGCGACACACTCGCACTCTTTTTAACAAACAAATCCCTAGAATTCAAGGATTTGTCAATGATGAACATGATTCTATATTGACTGAAACTAATGCTATGATTCAACATGCTTTCAACTATACTATTCGACATTATTCACAGAAATTGAAACACCTCACCAAAATCACAGTGTTAATGAATTTAAAGCATCATTATCACAAAATACTCCTCGAACTTCCATCTAAGCCGTTCTTATTTTGTATGGGCGACTTAATTCAATCAATTCGTCGTCTTAAAACAAAGACATCAAGTGGACATGAGAAAGTCTCCAACAAATTGTTAAAGTCAATCCCGATATCTCATTATGGTTTTATTCTTCAAATTTTTAATCAGCTGCTTATCCATAATGAATATCCTCAACATTGGAAATTATCAAAGATGATTCTATTACCCAAAGATAAATCAACTATTCTAAACATCAACAGAACGCGACCTATCTCACTCTTACCATGTTTAAGTAAGGTATACGAAAGATGTTTTCTTGTCTATCTTCTTCAGTGGATAAACAATACCGGTATTCTTCCATCGGAACAATCCGGATTTAGACAACATCATTCTATCACCACCAGATTTATACAATTTCTACAGGATATTACTACAGGTCTAGTACAACACACAGCAACTCTTGTAATTGATGTAGATTTCACGAAAGCCTTTGATCAAATTTGGCATGATGGATTAATCTATAAATTGTGCAACATGAATTGTTCACGAGAGATAATCGATTTTATCATAGAATATTTGAAGAATCGTAAATGTTATATTGAACTAAACAATCTTACTTCCAACATCTTCAACATTGAGAAAGGAGTTCTACAAGGTTCCTGTCTCGGTCCAATTCTCTTTCTTTTATTTCACTGCACACTAGTTCAAGAAGTCCCATCAGCCAGTCATCAACATCTGTATGCCGACGATCTAGCTCTTATAATAACAGCCTCTCCATGGTGGACTAGAGGTGAGTTTGTGAAACATATGCAACATTTAGGTCAACAAACTTTGAACGAGCTCCAAACCTATGCCACTACGTGGAAACAACCAATTAATTGTGAAAAAACAGAATGGCAATGGATAAATAGACGCGTGGTATTACCTTCTCTTATTCTCACCATTAATCAACAACCTATCAGATGTACTTCTCTCTTTAAATATCTGGGCTACTTTGTTGATGAACGATTATCATTCAACACACGTTGCACCAATATGCTTGAGTAAATTCAAATTAATTCAACTGTACTAAAATACATCACTCGATCACATGTATCCTCATTACGAACACGTCAACTAACTTTTAATGCATTTATTTTACCATATTTTCAACTGATATATGCAACCTGGCCCTTACTTTCCAATGGAACTATTGCCAAAATTGAAGCCAAAAATCATCAAATATATAGATTGATCCACAATTGGTGGGATGCTCGTAACGATGAAGTACAATGGTTGCCTGCTTTCCAAACTGCTACATCACGTGCTCAACGTTTCTTACGCCGCTTCATTGATAAAGCACAAACAATATCACCTGAACTTTTCGAATTTTATATTCTCTCAAAGGCGATGCCGATGTATCTACAAATGCACTTCGAAGAAACTCAATTTATTGACGCTCTACCTCGTGGTAGACCTAATAGTTACATTCGTAATTGGATTAACTGGAACAATCATGCACATCTTCATAAGTGTTACTTGGATCACTTATCTGCCTTTTTATCAGCATCCACTATTGCACAAAACTAACTACTCTGTACTTAGCTTGTTACATCTGTTTTGAAACCGAGACTAAGGGTCTAGTTTCCTCTTATCCTCTGGATAATTGATCTTCGACATAGCGCTAATAAAAAAAAAACTCAAGATTTGTTTTCTATTCTTCTATATTCTATTAAATATTCCTGTAATTTTCCAACATGGTTTTACATTATCTGAATGAAAATTCAGTTTAAAATTTAAAATTTTGAAATCTTCATTTATAGTTTCAATTGTTTCTTCATCAAGATTATCTAAAGGAAATGTCATATCAACATTAAGAGTTTTTAATTGAGGCGTATATGTATCAAACAATTGAATCCATGTATCACTTCTAAGTAAATCTATACGATATTGTTTAGAAGGAAAAAAGGAACATTGTAATTTACATTGACGTAAAAATGGTGAATTACGAAATATACTAAGAAAAATATCCGTTTTCAAACCATCTAATCGAAGATTAAGTTTACGAATTGATGTAAAATAAAGTTGAGGAAAACGAATTTCTGATGAATTAAAACTAGAACGAAATTGAAAATAATATAAATTAGGTGAATAATAAAGTATTGATTGAAGAGTTTTCCAATTACAATAAACAGTTAAAATAAGATATTTAATATTTGTTGATTGAAATGTTGATGGAAAATTTAATTGTTCATATAATTCAACCATTTTTAAACTTGATTTTGATTCATGTAATTCAAAATGTTTTAATTTTTGTAATTGAAATGCACATTCAAGTACTCGTATTCCTATATTTGATGATATATTTGGTATATCTTGATTTCGTATATGTAATGACAGATGTTCAAGATAATATGGTGGCCAATTATTATTTTTTTCAAAAAGTAATAATGGATTATCAACATCACGAAGTACAAGTGAACGAAGTGCAGTAAATTGAAATATTGATGGATTATATGGTCGAGTTGGAACATTAAGTGAAATAACTTGTGTTAATTTAATATGTGGTAAAATCCATCGAATAAAATAAGAATTATTTGATCGAACATGTAATCGAACATGACCATTAGCTAATAAAGTTGGTAAACAAGGTATAAGAAGACAAAATGAATAAAATATTTCATGAACATTAAAATAAGATAAAATTTCAATAACAACATCGATACATAAGTCATGAAATCTTGTAATTGTGGACATAGTTTTTTTTTAAAATATAAAATGTTTATTTTGCTACTTATCTGATACACTGCGTTGTCATGTTTATTGTCTTGTAAAAAATGCTTTGTCATTCTTGCTTTCAAATGTGTTGATTTGACAGACATGTGATTTTTTTTTCTGTTCTTTTTTATAGGATGTATTAGAGTAGAATCAGAAATGATGTTGGTCAGACCAGTATAGGGATGTCAATAGTGTAACAATTACTTCTTCTCATCGTCGTTAGCTCTTGAATATTTTCGTTTTTCTTCGGTGAAACTAAATAACTTTCTTTTGCATTCTTTTAGAAAAAAATTTCACCCATTTCAAAAAAATTGCGACCTCTTCGCTCCTTGATGTCGGTTGTTCTAAGGTATTGCTCACGAGAAAAAGCAAAAAAAAGCATGCTGCTATACTGTCATAAAAAAGAGACTTTGACGATTCTTTTGCATGCATAGATCAATGACCTTATATGAAGATGCGCTATTGCATATTAGTTAATCAATGAATGATAATGAATTTTATGTAGTGCAAAATTCATTGTTAAATTCTTTTAACATATACGTTATAATACTTTTTATTTTATTATCTTTCATATTCTTGTTGCTAAACATCGTCCTCTTTCATTTCAAATGTTGATATTTTTGCACTCAAATTTTTTCTACTTTGACCTAATAATATTTTTCTTTAGCGAGTGTATTTACACGCAAAAGATTTTGCTTCTGCAAAGCTACCTTTGATTTCATATAGTGTATGTTTCAATTTGCATATTGATTTAATTAACCAAAACAAATAAACAAGTTATATATGCTTGAAACCGACAAAAAATTATTCAAACTGTAAAACACTAAGAATATTTTCATCAAGCGACTAGGTCAACATTCTGTTTAAATAATATTTTTCTAGTCATTCATACAATTTTATTTTTTTTTACTCTTATTTTGATTGCTTTCATTTGCATTTTTTCCTTGAAAAGCAAAGGTCAAATACGTATTTATTTTGCAAAAAAAAGGACAAAGTATTTTTTTTACAGTAAAAAATGTATTTACGTCTACTATTATATTTTCCATGTAAAGTATTCATTTGATATTATATCAAGTTCATAGAATCGGAAGAATTCAAATCAATACCATAACATAAAATTTTCAATGCACAAATAAAAGGATTAAAAAACGACAAAAACGAATCAATTAATATGAGCAACATCTATATGAATCTGAAATATGACACTTGAACAGTTTTGTCAAAAATAAAATGAAAGAGATATAAAATTTATATACTTATAGAATAGAATGGCTTGAAATTAAATCTAAATCTTATAAAAAAGTGTCATATCATCGAAACAAAATGTTATACTCAACACTCATAGTGAATATTTTGAAAAGATAATTAAAAAAAAGGAATGAAAAACCAATATCAAATTTTCAAAGTCTCATCTCTCAGCAAGGGTAATTCAAGAAGATCAGAAAAATGAAAATATATTTATTGATTGAGATAACATTACATTGGGTCAATTTTTACAATATTTTCGTATTGAATGAATGGACAATTGATTTTGATAACGTATTACTTCGACGGACTTCAATAACTTAAGCTGAATTTTACAAAATAGATAACCTGAGCGTCAAAAACAATTAGATAAATTATTTAGTTGTGACAAGCAACAATAATAATTAATCTACCATGTAGATCGTGGTGAATATACGCAACTAGATTCTCTCTATTTAAAGTACTTTCTAACTTTTAGTAATACTTTATACAGTGTGAAAGTGAATAGGATACAACCACATTGATGCGAAGAAAAATGATAATACAACTATTCAACTAGTGTTTATTATTTTCTGTACAGAAAATATACTTTAAAAATCAACGAACAAAGAATCATGATAATGAGAGTATATTTTATTTTTCGTATTAAGTACAAACTAAAAAATATGTATTTATATCTTCATCTATTCGGGTAATGTACATAAACAAACATTTATCTATTTGAACTACTTGTTAATTTCTCAGATTCTATATGTATTGCATGAATACAATTGATTATTAAGTGATAGTTATATTTGCTAACATTATATTTGGCGTCGTGGTCAATGTAGTGTACATTTTAACAGTTGTTAATCCAAGAATTTTTCTTGTAACTACTTTAAGTCGAGTAGTCATCTGTTTTTTTGGATTTGATGAATTATTTTCCTTTGTCATGAGTACTAATGATGAATTATCTAAAATACATCGATCACATTTATTTTTATGGAGGAGAAAAAAAACAAAACAACATTCTTAATTACTTTGGTTTGATAAAGTTTTTGGACGTGGCCAATAAAGTGGAGAAAGGCCAGTGATTATAGCAATAATAGCCAGTGCCGTAATGATGCTGACTAAAAGAATAACACTTTGTTTGAAAGTCAACATCTATTGATTATTTGCATAAATATGCACTAACAATGACAAAAAGAAAAAAAGAAAAAAGAAGATTCATTGTTGTTCAATAGTATTTAGTAACTGAACAATGTCCTTTATTTATGTATGATTATGTCTCTATTATTTAAACGTAAAACTATGTTTGTCAACAGATTAAACGCATAAATTTAGTTTGAAACATTCGAAAAGAAGAAAAGACAAATCCTTAATGACCTTTGGACAAATTTTTTTTTCTTTGTTTTGATAATTATATTGCAATCGAAGAAGATTATCTTATGTAAAGTAAACAATTCATCTACGATTATTCGAACAATTTCAGATTCGATAATATAATTGCATATACTTAAAACTTAATGTTTTAAGTTTATTTAATTTCCAGCTATGTTCCAGTTTTTGAGATACATGTACAACATAAAAAGTGTTCACATCAACACAGTTGCAGTTCCCGGACATTAGCCAGGAGATAGTAGTCGTGGTTAAAAATTGATTTCTGAAGGTCGTTCGAGGTAATATAACTTGTTCGTTTTCATTTCTGATGAAGAAAAATAAAAAGAAATTTTGTCAAATTGGTGGTGACCGTCGCTTTATCACACCTTAAATCCGTAATTGAGTCTACGATTAGTTTTTTTGCTACAGAATTTGAAAGAAAATTTATGCCTATCCTTCTAATCGTGTTATATGTTTGTTCTTATTCCTTTTAGAAGCAAAAATATATTCGAAAAAACAAAACCATTATTAATCACTTTAAGAGAAATCCTTTATCAAATCAAGATTTGATATGTGAATCAACAATACGAATAATTTGATTCCAACTAGGATAGGTAGTAGAAAAATACATCACATCTAATAAATACGTTTTTCAATTCCCAATATGCTAATTTAAACAGTAGTATAAGTGGAGATTCAATTGTTATTGTATGATATTAAATAAAAAAAATAACTATTGTCAATGCGTGATAAATCATATGCACTTATCTAAGTGGATAATCACCAAGTATGAATCATTAATAAAATTCTGATTTATCAATGTGAGATTTTGAACATAAGATCAATCAGTTTGAGTTGAATATAGTTCTACTATTACTAAACAATCATGACTGTCCATTACAAAATAACGGAGTAACGATATATAAACAAAAGCTCATCCGCCGCTTTTAAACTTGCCTAATAAAATATTAAGATTAGGTATACAATGTTGACTGCAATTAGAAAAGATGAGTTGTCGCCAAGAAAGACAAGCTTGAGATTTCGATTAATTTTACATTTAACTGGACCAATATAAAACAACTGTCTTACATTATTTTGAAAAATATTGAGACCAATATGTAACGACATTAACGATAAGCAGAGATATTCAGTGCCTTTGCACCGAATTATTGTTGTACTGTTTCATTTATATTGAAGTTTAAGAACAGTATTTTAAATGAATGGAATTTTTAAAAACAATCAACCAGAAAACTTCGAAAAATATAATTAAAAATGCAGGAAACATGATGATTAGTTTTCTCTAATATAGACGTGATATTAATAAGATTCTGTCATTGGTTCAAATTGAATAGAAAATAAATCCTTAAATCCTACCGAAATATCATAACATAAATGATCTTATGTTAATGAAAGAAATTCCTAAATTCTTTTTAACACTCATCTATAATTCAAATAGATAGTGGAAAGAAAAATAACAACAAGAATAGTATTTAGCAATACTTATTATTTTAATAAAATATCAAAAAAATCTTACACCTTCCATTTATCCATTATTTCCATTCAAAAACTTAGAAAACATCTGCAAAGTAGTATATGATTATTATATTTCATTAACAATTACAAAGATGTAAAATCATTTCCTGAGGTTCTCGTCACGTATAAGCAAATCAAACAAGTTGAATTGTTCCTATCGAACATTCAAGATCAGCTTATTTTTCATCTTATCTCGAGAGCCAGAAAAAAAGATTATTTACGATTACTTCTGCATTTTTTCATATTGAATAAATTTCGTAAACAAATCAAATTTTCATTTTGAAGTATAAAGATCTTTATTGCTGCAGTTATGTTTCATAACTGTTAATATCTGGATTATCAACAGGATATTTTCGAAACTAGGAGATCTCAGAAAAGAAATAGAAATTTACCAGGAGTTTTTTTAAGGCACGAAATTTTTTCGAAAACAAAAAACACTCAATAGCATTTTTCTTTGCAGAAGTACTCGTTGCTTTCTTCTAATAAATCAACTATAATCAAGTTCATTGACAAGTGATACTAAAAAAAATGGAATATGATCATGCGTATTTTATTTTATTAATCTTTCATCTACGCTTATGAAAATATCCGAACAAAATTTTTTAAAATTTACTTATAAACCATAAACTAGATCATTTTTTGTTTTTTTTTCGCCTAGTATTCCACAAAAATTTCACGTGACAAAAACTGGATTCACAACACCCGTTTAAGACCGATATCGGTAAAGTAAATTGACCTAATTTTTGTAAATGCGGTACATTTTCACCGTTAAGAAGATAAACTCACAACTAGTCGGATATGGTAAACAGATGTTCCTTCTATTCTTTGTGGAATTTAACATCACATCGTGATCGTTTCTCTTATTGATTCAACATTATCAAAATTTCATTCTACAAACTTTTGAAAATGTCGTTTGACGCAGTTTGATATACTCTTTCAAATGCGATTACTCTCAAGCTACTCCATCTCAGTGGTTCTACCAACTTCCCTTTTCTCTGAGGCGATTCTTTCTGAAAATGGTACATGAGATCAAACAAAATATGTCAGATAATAAGTTTCTATGGTAAAAATGGAATAGACTGCAAAGTGTGGCACGATCAGGTTGTTCAAATGCAATTGAGTATCAACACTTGCAATATCTTTATCTTGCAAATAACTCATTCATTAAACCTCAAATCATCATTTCAATCCTACACAAGATTTATTCTGTATGAAATAATATTTCAAAAAGTTATTCGTTCATTTCAATTCTTTAGTTGCTACTTTCTTATCATTGATTGGTCACCATCATTTACATTAATCTTTTTCCTTGTCCTTTTTTCATTAATGATTTTAATCTTAAGAATTGTTTGACATTTTCTTTCAGTTTCAATCTTTTATTCAATGATATTATATATAGCTGTATATATATGTAATCTTTCTTTATATGTACAATAAAACAGAGAAAAAAAAAGGATAACAGAACCGGATATTAAAAAAAAAAGTTAATTTTCAAGTAAATCAATATTTTGTTCGCTATCATCCGACAAATCTTCATCTTTTTCATACAATTGTTCATCATCCATATCATCTTCATCATCAACTTCAACATCTTCATTATTTTTTGAAAATAATTTAACATCTAAAATAAAATCGTTTATTCAAATCATTATATTTTATCAAAAATTAAACTCACCTGAATGATGTAAAGCAGCCGTATGTAAATTAAGTTCAAATTTATGTTCAAATACTTCATGACATTTATTACATGTATAAGAACCATGACCATTATTATTATTATTATTTGCTGTTGTTGTTTTTGTCATCATAGGCATCATTAATGAATGAGTTCGTTGATGTGCATGAAGATTAGATGCTCGATTAAATGCTTTTGAACAAATACCACATGCATAAGGTTTAGCAGCTGTATGTGTTAATTTATGTCTTGTTAAATTTCCTGGTTGACGAAAAGCTCGATCACATATTTCACATACAAATGGTTTTTCACCTGTATGAATACGCTAGAAATAAATAAATAAAAAAATCTTTAGTTGAGATAAGTTATTGTTCAATCACATCATCATCAATATTGGTGTTAATCTGTCAAAACGTTTGTTATACAAGCCGACATACGTTCACACTATCGTCAGTGGACATATGTCACGATTACATCAAACGGTCTTTTTAGAGTATAACTAGCGAATTCTATGTGCTAAGATATATATATTTTTATTAACACAAAATCATTGTTGATAGAAATGGATAAGTAGTGAAGAAAAAAAAAACTTGCTCTCTTTTTTTTTTCTTTTTTTGTTGTGCGTAATTAATTAAACCGGAAGAAACAAGCATGTTCTTTTCTTTAATATAATCGGTTAAATTTTTTATTGGTTAAAATACCAAGAAGCGTATTGGATGATAGAAAGAGTTTCTTTTCTTTTTTTTTTCTTACTTTATGCGTAACTAATGTATTACTTCTTGAAAATGCTCTTGAACAAATATCACATTTATATTTTTTTAAATTTTTTGATTTTGTATTATTTGTTGTTGAATGTGTTTGTGTTGTATTTCCATTTGATGTTATTGGTCGTCGAATAAAATCTATTAATGTAGCTGGAGATGGAACAAGAACATTATTATTTGTAATTGTATATTGATGATAATGTGTTGCTGATGGTGATGAGGAGGATTTTTTATTGTTTGTATTTGTTGATGCTTTTGGTTGAAGAGATGATGACAATGGTGATGATGATGGTAATGAAGAAAGTGGTGGTGGAAGAAGTCCCGGAGGTCTAAGATTAGATAAATATGGATGAAATAATGGTAATGTATGCCAATAATTGGGAGGTGGAAGTGTTGGAACAAATGGTAAAGTTTGAGAAAGAAATGGACGTAATAAAGCAAGATGTGCTTGAAAATCTGATGTTGAAGAAATTAATGGTGATAAAAATGGATTTGGAATAGAATTTTTGTTTGTATGATGTTCATCCGAAGATATTGTTGTACCACTTTTAGTTGTTTTTTCATTGGTTTTATCAGTTTGATCAGTTTTAATAGATGATGATATACGACGAAATGCAGATTGATTTGATTCCAAAAAATGATGTCCATTAGATGATTTTTCATCTTTAGTAATTGGACTTTTTGAATCTAAATTCAGAACTTAACAAAAAATATTTCAATATTTTGTTTCAACTTACTATTCATATCGGCTTCTTTAGCTATAATACTCGATTGAAATTGATTGATACACAACTAATTGCTTTCTTTTTTTCTCTTTTCACCGTGATTTCTCTTTTTATGTCAATTCGTTTACCTGTTGGCTAAAAATGTTTCTTCTTTTTTTTTTTTGCTTCTTCTTCTTCTTCTTTTCCCGGAAAATATACGTATTACGTGTCGCATGCACGCCTGCCACCCTATCACGTACATATATGGTATGCATGTTCATCAAAGAAAAGCGCGACCGACTGTTACAATATTGAAAAACACGTCGTCATCGTCAATTGTAATTAACAGACTAGAGAGAAAGAGAGGGAAGGGAAAAAATGGAGATGAAAGAAAGGATTTTAGTTTTATATACGTATGACTCTTGGGATCACCCAGTAGGACATCGTCATTGGATGGCCCTGATCATAGTCAATTGAATGAAGAATATTGTTGACATGGTATAATGCCGCTTAATCTACTTGTTTGTGTTCAAACGGGAGATGACGACTTGTTGACTTCGTCAGTAATAGTGTCGGGCTAATCAGGCGAAATAAGTTAAAACAACTTTGTTTTATGTTTCTATGATGTCGTTTATAAGAAATATTTTAAAATACGGATATTAGTTAATCCCTATATAAGATTGATGAAGAAAAAAAGTAAGAAAACGTTGAAGTAATTATTAAGATTTAGTTGATTTTTTAAATGAAATTTTGAAGAGTTGAGAAAAAAAAATAGCAATGAATAAATTAATGTTTGTCTCAATGACAGATTTAAGTTATAATTGACTTGTTATGTAATGATGACCAATCAACAGTATCAAAGAAAAAGAAATCTATGAAAATAAACCAAGCCGATATGATTGAATTTAAATTTAATATTTGTGAGTTTTCTACTTTTGAAACATGTTTAACATTTACAAGAAAGTTTTTCTATTTGGCACAAAAGAATTGTATTTGATAATATTAACCTGTTTGCTTTGATTCTCTTTTCAAAGAAAACGAAAAAATAAAAATCTTTTCATTATTTCTTAGATAACCAGAGCTAGATTGCTAATAGTGTCCTGGACAGTTGCAAAATTTCGTAAGCAGACACGAACAGCTATACTTGGTACTCAATCGGAGAGAATAGATATCCAGTAGATACTTTTATAGTCATAGTGTGGTCTTCAAATTTCTATTGTATAGAAAAAGTATACTATTTAGTTTCTTTCATAAACAATAACGAAAAGCCAGTGATTCAGTATTCATTTGATATCTTTCTGATTGTAAAATCCGATCAGCTTGGTTAAGTATACATTTTGGTTGTTGCTGATGCGTTGCAAGGAAATGCAATATTGATGCCAAGCGTCGTAATTGTGGACAAGTACATGAACGTTTTTTTCTGTCACGAGAATACGTGTTCACCTTTTTGATAATTCACTGTCCTCTTCATGTATTGAGTTACTTCGTCACATATGGCGTATCGTCATTTGTAGATAAATTTTCATTAAAAAAGAATTCTTTTAGTAAAACAATATTGCCCTCTACTTCTATGATCTGTTCGTTAGTATAATAAATTGCTCGAACCAGTTTTTACTTCTATGCTTTAACATAAATTAGAAGTTTGAAAAAGTAAAATATAATTTCAAATGTTGACATCTTATTGATTGCCGGAGTATCCGGTCCGATTGTAGGATACTAATTGTTAATGACAGGTAATTACGAATCAAAATTTAGTACTTTTTCTGAATATTTCTCTAAGACTTATGGTTAAAAATATATGAGTCGAACTTTTGAAACCTCGGAAATCAAGTTTACACGAAGAAAATTCCTTTTTTTTGCATCAATAGTCTTCTTTACTGCATACATTATATTACCAATATTTTTTAGCATAGAACTAAAGTATTTTCTAACCAAAATACTCAATGCTGAAAAATGATTCTTAGTAAACTAATTATTAGAATATTATATCATTAAAAAATGTGTGCTTGTTCATTTCCTGTATTTGAAATAATTTTCACTTCTACATTGAGTAATTTTGACTGCATTGAAGTTCTTCCAAACTTAGTTTACAGACCTTTAAAAGATCGATTCTTAACTTCGAAACAAGAAATCTTAGAAAATTTTTAAAGCCATATTCGAAAAGAATACAAAATTCTGTTTCTAACTTGATGTTTTTAAATTTCTGTAGGCTTCTTGAAGAAGCTTTCACGTGAATAAACACTTAGTCTAATTATTGAGTGTATAAAAATATTTTTCAAGGGAAAGTAATGCTGGAATCGCCATTAACATCAAAAAATATTTTGCACCAAATTAAACTGTGCCGAAAATGGGATTCACCAATACTCAATAATAAGCGTAAGAACAACTTATCAGTGTCGAATGCAGAAAACTCCTAAAATTTTACGCCATATCAACAAAGAAAAATTCTTTTCATTAGGTAATCCAAACTATATTTCATTTAAAATGATAAACATAATAAAGTACTGAATGTCTCATCCGAAAGTATTAGAACAATAATCAAAAGAAAAGCTTAAACACAAGGTTATCAAACATGAAACACAGCTCTTTTGATGAAGACACTCTAAAAAAATATATTTCATGTGTCTGAACAAACATTAAACTATTCGATATTGCTTTTGTTCGTATCTATTTCATCTTTCTGCCATAAAGATATTCATGGTCATCATACTGATTATATTCATCAAGTTTTACGAAATAAATATTACTTTTTGATATTCATGATGTTAAATGAGATTTAATTTGAACCGCCTGAAGTAAGAAATTTCGTTCTGCTGATATGCTGTAAAATTTTAAGAACTTTCTGAATTCGACACTGAAAATTGTCCTAACGCTTATTATTTAATATAAGTCAATTCTGTTTTCTAAGTGCTTTAATTCAGTATAGAACATTTTGTTGGCATAACTTAAAATCACACCGTTACCCCTCTGGAAAAATGTTTTTACGCACTTTGTACTATTTTATCACCGATTAATAATTCTGATTTTCTTTTGGTACTTTAAGCAATACAATTCTTTTGAATATCATGCATTCTACTCATAGAAAATTTATTTTATTATTTTAAATATTTGTTGATTAGGTATATCACGATGGTAAGATTTCTTTCGTTTTTCTTCTGATTAAATCTTCACACTATAAAATATTATTAAAACATGACTAATAATTATTTACGCACCTGATTAAATATGACGTTTCCATGTTCTTCAAAGTCATATATTTACATAAGTAATGTCAGACTAAGTTCATTTGTCGTATATATAAAGACAAACAGCATAACGTTTTTATTAGTTGTTCAGCAACAAATGGATTCCTATATGCTTGTGTTGATTTTGGCTATGATTTGGTTTTCAATTGATGCATATCCATTTTACAAAACATGGCCCAAAACTATAGATTATAATACGATAACTGATGCCGATGATGCTTATAATAGACTCCATCAACTATTGAATGAACAACAAAATCTAAAACAACAATATCCTAAATTCAATCGACTTTCAGATTTGTTCTATTTTCGATAGTAAGTAGAAAATATATCAAATTTGTTCTTATGAATATATTTTATATTTCTTACTAATAGTGAACCTACCGATATGAATGACTATGACAAATGGAATAATAAATTAAATGATTATTATCAATATGAATATCCAACAGAAAATGATCGGGATTATAATACATTAACATAAACGAAGTATTTTTTAAAGTAATTCTTAAGGGTATCTTGTAATTTTTTTTATCATTTTTTGTTCTCAAAGACGATACAACCGATCAATCTGTAGAGTTAACTACAGATAGAGCACCTTAAAAAGGAGATATACATACGAGAAAAAAATTTTTTAATGAACTTTTTCTGGAAAACCTTGATTTCACATAGAGTCGCATCCTAATAAATTAATACTGTCATCAAAGCAACGGTAAGTTTCGTAGTAATCTTTCACTCTAGGACGGGATATGTGTAGGTTTCTACAGAAATACTTTCTCTCTCTAATGATGTATGTACTGTCAGTTTGCATTATGTACCGTTGAGACCTTACCAGAATTCGCCACATTCGCTGCATTCTACGAAGATCGTGGTAAAGGTGCTGCCTTTTGTTGATATATCAACGGTACAAAATAGAGCTTGATAGTGCATACATCATTAGAGAGAGAGAGAAGTGTACACATCCTGATCTACAATTAAAACCTTATAGTTGCCTTTGATGTTGAATGTCGTGTATTAGGATGCAGCCCTATATTAATCTAAGATTTCCCAAAGAAAAATCATTTCAAAATTATTTTTATCAAATATGTGCCTCCTTATATTGAGTTTAAAAATTCCAGCTTGATCGGTTGTACCGTCTTCAAGAACTAGCAATGATACAAAAAAGATGCTGTGCTACCTTGAAGTAAGCTATTCAAAGAGTGATGATCGCTTTATTTATTGTATTGATTAATTTATTATTTTATTGCTTGAATATTTTATTTTATTTTTCACTAATCAAAATGTTTTGTTTTAATATTAATATTTTCTTTTTACGAAACGATAATACCACATGATGTTATATACAATATAAATATGGTTGAAAGTTGTATTAGTAAAATTTTATTATATTATTTTTTTTTGTCTATAATAAATGTATTTTAATCTGATTGTTCCAAAATACCAGTAGGTGTAGCATATGCACCTTTTATTTTAATGAGTATATAATCTGCTAACCAAGCAGGAAGCATAGAAAGAGGAAAAAAGAAAAGACTTGATTGCCATCCAGGTCGGTATCGTATACGTGGAGCAGTATTCATAACAGCATGACGGATTGCTTTAATAACTTTTTGAGGATTTTCAGCATTTATAATGAAAGGATGTTTTTCTATTTTTATCATATAATCCCGAAAAAAATCTTCACCCCATCGTTTTCTTACATCTTCAGGAACATCAGCCCATAGATTACGACATGTATGTTCATATGCTTCAATAATTGGTGTTCTCATATAGCCAGGTTCAATTATTGATACATATAAGCCCCATGAATACATTTCTCGGCGTAAACAATCTGAAAAAGCTTCTAATGCAAATTTTGAACATGCATATGCTGAAACACCAGCTGTAGCCATATAACCAGCAACTGAACAAATATTAACTACACGTGATCCACGTCGAGATATAAGTAATGGTAAAAATTTTTTTGTCATTGAAACATGACCAAAAAAATTTACTTCCATTGTTTCACGTACAAAATCAAGTGATGTCCAATCAATAAAACCACGGTTACCAATTCCTGCATTATTTACTAATGCATGAAGTGTATTAGTTTTTTTTGTAACAATATCATATGCAATATCTATATCTTGTTGTTGTGTTATATCAAGACAAAAAACTGTAGCTCGATTAGACAATTGACTAGTAAGACGTTCTTCAGCATCCGGATTAAATACACTAGCTAATACGTGAAAACCTTGTTTATCAAGTTCAATAGCTAATCCATGACCAAAACCTGAATCGCATCCACTTATTAAAACATATTTACCATTTGCATTTATATTTGGTGGTGGAAATAAATGTTGATATAATCGATATCCTACATAAAGGATTAATGCTATGCCAACAGCAACGAATACGGTCGCCATCCTATACTAAGAATAACTAAAAACAGCAACATGAAACAAATAGATAAATGTCTATTTTTAATTATTTACGTTCTGATTTTTGTTTTTACTTTACTGCGTCGAGTCCAAAGTGCCGATCGGTAGAGTAATAGTGACTATCGTAATGCATTTATCTGTCCAATCGAAAAAAAACCTTGTTTATTTTTCTCTTTCTCGTCTTTCTCTTACTCCTTACTTTTTTTTTTCGCGAACATGCATGTTTCATGGTTAACTTCAGTACGATACAATGATGAAATACTGCTACATAACAGAAAAATAAAAATAATAATGATTAATTACATTCATTTTCTAGACACGGTTGGTTAGTTTACATACAATCGTAATTTAATATGAACTATTTGCGTAAAAAATATCTGTAGTTGCAGCACAAAGAGCATTTTCAAACTTATTTTATAATATTATTTAATATATTTATTTTTTTTGTTTTTTTTTAACAGTCATCTTCTAGACTTTCAAAAGAGATTTTACATTACACAACAATACAAAAAAAAGAAAACATATTTCATAAATTTATTCGAGATCAACAGAATTTGCTTCATTTTCATCTTCTGTATAAATATTTTCTGCCTAAAATTGAATAGAAAAAGTTTGGTTTTTTTTTGAAATTAAGAAATAATTATTATTATTACCATTTGCCAAACTTGCATTATATTATCTTCTGATACTGAACAAATAACCCATGGTTCAGTTGGATTCCATGAAAAATCAGATATTTTAGCTGTATGACCACCATGAATAAACTATGACAAAAATAAGATCTTCGTTTTTTTTTTTTTTACTAATCATTAGTTTTTATTCTTACTAATAATTCAGGTGGACCATCTTCAGCATCATCACTTGTTTGTTCTTCACCAATTTTACTTTACAAGTAAAAAAGACATTATTGAACAAGAAAAACTTTTAAAAAGATTTATACCTTAAATCCCAAACATGTAATCGTCGATCAGTACCACTTGATGCAAGTATTGTTTCATTATGATGAGACCATTGAACTTGAAATATTTCATCTTTATGTGATTCAAATGTATGTAATTTTAATTTAAGATTACGAAGATCCCAAAGAGCAACGGTCTATAAATAGAATTTTCTTTTTCTTTTCTAATTATGTGAAAAAAAAAGAAAACAAAAAACAAACTTTATCAGCTGAACCAGTTGCTAAAATATATTCTGAAAATGGATTAAATGATAAACAATTAACTTCGGCACCATGTGCATCAACAACATGAGATGGTTTTGTATAATTTGATGAACGTGTATCCCAACTAAAACAAGAAAGATAAATTATAGAAAGATTATTTCATTCCATCTATTTAGAGACATATTTCTTCAACATCCTTTTATTTCATCGTCTAAAACCGCAATAAGAAAGTACTTGAAATATTATAATGAGATGTTATTCATAGATTGTATATCAACTACGTTTGTCACGGTCGGTCTCGGAGAAAAAAAACAGTAGACAGTCATGCGATAAAATCGATTTCTCAGTTTTGAAATTAAGTTGTAACTGCTATAGGTTTGCATTTTGGATTTACATCGCAAGCGAGTAATTATCTTGCAATAACTACAAGTAGGTAAAATTGGTGAATATAACTAATAAGATTTTGCAAGTAAAATTATATTCATTAGATGTTATATGTTTACTATATACTGCAAAAATTTTTAAAGTTCGTTTGTTTTTGCATTAGAACATTTAATACCGATTGACCTCTAATATGATTAGTCATCATACAGAAAGGTGAAGCTTCAAATAAATAATACGCACTCAAACATATAAATTGTCAAAATTTTTACATTGATTGTTTGTTTCTAAATACAATCTATAAATAATTTTCAACTTTGAGCATATTATCAGCAAATATTCATAACTCACAAGAAAGTCTTTCAATGTATTAAATCAATAATGGATCAAGACTCTGCTAATTCGATGAGTATTAGCGAATCATGAAATAATCTAGAATGATTTAGATTTCAAGATATCTGTTGTGACGAAGCTAAATTTGGTCATCAAAACTTTGTAGTCTTCTCAATTCACTTTGAAAGTTTCAGTTTTTCTCATAAGTTCTACATTGAAATAAAAATTCTATTTATGTAACAGAACAAATTTATATGCTTATATTCGTATCTTACTCATGAAAACAACTATAAAGGTTAAAATTTTCTACAATAACTCTAGAGATTACTCCTAATCCTTTTGTTTGTTCTATCTAAACATAACATACATCATCAATTTACAATCATCACCAACTGAACCAAATAATGTTTCATGAAATAAATGCCAAGCAACATCTTCAACAACAGCTTGATGTCCAGAAAAAATAGCTAATGGATCAACAAATTTTCCTTCTGTTGGTGGTTTTTCAATATTCCATAAACATATTGTATGATCATCGGATGCTGATAAAATATTTCCACTAGCATTTGGATTCCATGAAAGACCATAACCTTCTTTTGTATGTCCACGTAAACGTAATTCAGGACATGAATCAGCACTTAATGACATTAATTGTTCTTTTGATAAACTAGCTAATTTTGTATAATTAAATATTAATACTTCAGCTGATGGAGATTTTGTTGCAATAAGTGATGGATTTTGTGGCATATAACGAGCACGATTTACTTCACCATCATGATTTATTTTTAATTCAATTTCAATTTTAGCATTAAATAAACCAAAACCACCAAATTCTATCAATATATAGATATATGTATTTGTTTATATTTTAATTAAAATTAATTATATACCTCCTCGTTCAGATTCATATTGTGTTGAATCACTGGTTGTACCTTCTTTTGGAATTTGTACACATGCAATTACTAAATGATTTTGTTCATCCGATGTATGAGTACCAAGAATAAGACGATGAGTTGTATAATCTTTTCCATCTTCAGGTCTGAAAACAATGATCCAATATCTTTTATTAGTATACAAAGTTTTGTGAAATAGCTCAAAACATGACTTATATCTCTTCTATAAGATTGACGTATCTCAATAAAAAAAAAACATCGCAAAGAGCTACGCGACATTTCATTTTGTAAAGAATTATTTGATTTATTATTGTGAGTCTAATTCTTATTAATTTCTTCAAATGAGATATATTTTACTACTGAATTCGACATATTCGATCAAAAACATTGTAATAAGAGTAAAATTTTGTTGCTACTTTGGTATGAATTTCACAGAGATCTATGAGACTTACTTCGATGTATATGGTAACCATTGAACAGTAAGTGAAGGCCATTCAAGAGCATGAGTCATGATTAAATCATAGAGAAATGCTGAATTTTTTTTCCAAATTTTATAATCTTCATTTATTTGACGTTCTTCATTTAAAATATCATCACCTAAAAAACACAAGATGTTTTTTCTTTATTTAATTGAATGCTCTATACGAACCATCTGCCATTGTAAGTTGACCGGGAAATTTTGAGAAAGATAAAAAATGGATTCAATCTGAAAATCAAAAAACTGATTGCTTGTTTAAGAAATAGAAAAAATTAAAAAAAGAAAGACAAAAAAAAAGCAAAATTTATTATTTTAAACCACCGGTTTGAGGTCCTGAACCAGGCATTGGTTGTTTTTGAAAATCAATTTTTACTGCATGATCACGATTTGGACTAAAAGAATAAATAAATTTCAATAAGACTTATCAAAAAAAATATTACTCAGCGGGTTGGTTTGGATTTATAATATCAGTTTTAGCACCTGGTGGAGCCGATCTAAAACTTTCAAAATCAAATTTAACAATTTTATTCATGATATTTACGTTTGCGATTCTGGTTTTTCAGGACCTTTAATTTTTCCAACCATTGTATCTTTCGGTCCTATGGAAAAGACAAATAACGAAATGGAATTTATATTACATTAATTTACCACTAAACATTCCACCAGTTGGATCTAAATCTTTCGACATTTTTTATTTGAATAATCTAAAATTATTCATATAATTAAAAAACACTCATCTCTTTTTTCTATGTAAATATTTTATACGCAACGTGGGTAATAGAGTCTGTCAGATTGGGCCCAACGGTCCCTAGTGGAGACCAAACCTCTCCGATGACCTGGTTGGTTCTTCTGGAATTTCTAGTTATTGTATCATGTATAGTACCTATGTTTCAGAAAATTAGGTATTCGCCCTCCGTAAGCAAAAGTCTGAATGCAGCACTGTTCCTGATGGTAAAGAAGAAAAACAAGTGAGTATGTTGATAATTATAAAGAATATCAAATGTATAAAATGATTTACTATTAAATAGAAATAAAACTAAATTAAATATTAATACAGAGTGGTCTCAAGTAATTAATGGTTGACTAGTTATACAATTTTTATTCTCAATTACATTATTATAGTCAATAAGCTTATGTACAACTATCTAAAATTGAAAACATGCAAAAAATTAATTATTCGTATAGAAACTACCGTTATAATTACTTCTTTTTGAATCGAATTCTGTATTATTTATTCACTGTTGAAGAAAAACAAACAATTTGAGGTCTATATATACATGAAAAAAAATATTTTTAACAATAGATAAAAGATTATGTTCTAGACTAAAATTACGAATAAAAACAAATTCGGAATCAAACAAAGAAATAAATAGTCAAAAGAATATATGCTAGTTTCTATTATCCAATCTTAATTTAGGAAACAGATGACGTTCGATTACAGTTGATATATTAACCAATGAAAAAGATATTGAAAATGATTTCATTTCAAACAATTTTCTTTCACATTTTTTTCGTTCTGTATATATATGATTGCTTTTTATTATTACCACCAAACCTCAAGAAAAAAAAAAAATCTTTCAAGCGTATTATTCTTTTATCAAAATATATTAATATCTTGTTTTCTTTTTCTCAGTGAACTATGGATTTTAATTGATAGAATAAAGAAAAAAAAAAAATCATTGTCATTTGATACAAGTATGAATGTATGTTATTCTACTTTTCTATTATGAGCAACAAATGTAAAAAGAATTATTCATTGTTTAATGTAGCATTTCAGAGCGTCATTCAAATAAATTGTTTGATTAACATGCTTTAAAGCTCATCGTGTTGATCGTGCACCGAACCGAGCTTGTGTATGAAACTTTTGAATTCAACAGACGTGATCAAATATGTATTTTTTTAAAACGTTATTTGTTGATGAATTTTTACAGAACAGGTGTCACTTGCTAGTAAAGCTTAATTGTTAACTTTTATAATACGATATACATTGTGCACATATTTATTTTATAATAATCAATTTTATAAATATGATTAACTTATTCTTCATATAATAGTGCAATCTGACAATGTCAGATAACAGAATTATTTGTATGTGAGCCATTTCTTTTCTGCAACATGTTTGCCAATATTTTATCAGCACATATTTACTTTGTCGACAAAAAAACGTGCTGATGAAATCAAAAGGCATATCGACGAAACGTTTTAATTAAATGAAAACTATCTCTATAACATTTACAACAATGTAGGTATGATATATTAAATAACTTAGATACAATATTGAAACAATAATGTCACTGATCAGATTAATAATAACATTTTCTTTTTGAGAGCAATGGTTTCACTCTTAACAATGCTCAGCATATATATATATTTTTATACGTTGAATGACACAGAATTTAATCATTACTAAATTAAACATAATTGTCTAATGAATGATTCAAAAGATAAATTGCAAATTAGATTTTTTCGCAACTCTTTCTCTGATTACATATTTTTTAATTTAAATTCTTATAATATTAATTACTTATATAATGAATAATCTTTGATCAGTATCGACTATATGTGTGCCACATATGACGGAATAGATGTTATTAATTCAAATATGTCGATATGAGAATGAACTCAAGTTTTCGTATGATGATCTATTGTGGACAAATATCATGAAAAACTAGAATATAGATTAAGAGAAAATGAACTAGATTATCATAGTTCCAGAGGTGTCCCGAGGTCGTCAAGATTGGGGAGCGGGGAGATCATCTAGAAAGTTGATTCACAACTTTTTCTAAAAGAGACCTGATTTGGGGGAGTCGAGATTGTTTTGAGATTTAGTGAGCAAAAACAAAACGAAAAAATGTTGAAATTTTGCTGGGAAAAAAAGAAAATTTTTCAACAGTGGGGGGTCACCCTCCCGCTGGTCGGCACACCCCTGCATAGTTCATAGAGTATTTTCTTGATTTGTAGTGTAATTCGCTTCAATTAGTATGGATGTTACCTTTTTTTGTTATTGATGATGACAAATCGTTGTTTGTTTTTCCAAATAGATAGACAAAAAGAAAACAGAATAATATGATTTGTTTGTTAAATATGACAGTTATAATCTTCTCAACAGCTATTTTAGTTTTGCTTTCAGCAATTAGACTACTTCTTATGGAAATTATAAATTAGTGCGAATTAGATTAAACACAATTGGAACATATGTTGAGTGACAATGATTAGAACAAGAAAGCGAAATGGTATAAATATTTAGCTATACTAAGTTTTTCTTTTGTACAAAATTTTAGGGTTAACAATTTTTCTAGTATTATGAAATTTTGTACCGTCTATTAACAAGGATTTATTACGATGCAATGTAGAATTTTTACCTATGTGACACTGAAAATATGAACTTAAGTGTTTGTTACGAAGGAAAGTCCCTAGATAGGACTTGCAAATAGAACTAATATTTTGGTCATAATTAGACTTTGGTGAAACTAGTAAAAGCTCGTAAGGATTCGTTTCCATCCGTTATCTTTCTCCAGTTATTACAATTTTACTGAATTTTTTATCTGTGGCAAGACATTGGAGGAAAAAGTCGAATAACGATATTTCAGTCCAAAGGAACTTGTTCTTCTTGAGATATCGAATGATAAAAACAGTGGACTGTCTTACTTCTCCTTGTGTGACACATGATTTTTTTTTGCATACCCAAGATCTCAAGAAGAATACTTTCTTTTAGTTGGAAATTTCGTACTTCGATTTTTTCATAGATACATTCCCACAGATAAAACATTCAGTAATAACTTAGGAAGGATAGCGTATATCAACGAATCTTTATGGGTTTCTACTAGTCTTGTCAGACCCTACTAATGGACAAAATGACGCGTCAATCATTGGAACATTGTCTCGTTTAATGAAAATAATCTGAAAGTATTTCGCCTTATCATTACGAAAGTGGAGAGAATATCATGATAAACAAATTAGCTGCAATTGTTCAATTATCAATCTACACCATTCACCACTTGAACAATTTACATTTGTAGTGTTCGAAAAAGAATTTTAATAAATTAATACAAGTAGATAAGACATCTGACAGTTCTTTCAAAGTTTTAGTTGATCCAGTTATGTACATGAATACTTGGAGATTCTTTAAAACAGATAATATCATTTCACCTATACATCGATAATGAAGATAAATTTATACTACCGAAATCGTTCGCTCAATCCTCAAACAACTAAGACGGTGTGTAAATTGAATATTGATTATTTCAACGAAATATTTGTATTCAATAAGATTAAAATTATGAGTAATTGCATACTGTAATATGTCTATCTTTCAGTTTATTTTCCTTCTAATAAAAAAGAAATGACAATGATTAACTAATACAGTAGATATATACATGAAAGAAATAAGAGATTATCGAATGTTTATTATGGAAATAAGATATGAGCAAAAGGATATAGAAAAAAAAAAGAAAGGATTATCCCTGGGATTCTAACTGACATATCAAACGTTCATTACATTTCTTTTGAAAAAATCTGAATAAAAAAAGAAAAAGTTTGCTTTTTAATCTTGATCTTTTCGACCATATTTGAGAATTTTAACGAATTCTTGGTAATCAAATAAACCATTTTTAATTGGTGCTTCTTTAAATAATTCATCAACTTCTTCATCACTATATCGATCACCAATTGTCATCAATAATTCTCGTAAACGTTCTTCAGATATTTTACCTGAGCCATCTTCATCTAATGACATGAATGCATTTTTAATAACATCTTCAGGATCTGTACCCGTTAGTTTTTCACCAAATAATGTTAAAAACATAGTAAAATTTATATCACCTGGTGCTTCACGTATCATTGCATCAACTTCAGCATCAGTGACCAGTTTACCTACAAAAAAAAATATTATTTTAATACATTAAATTCAACAAAATTTAATCATACCTAATGAAGCAAACATATCTTTAAGATCATCGCCACTAATAAAACCATCCTAAAAAACAAAAAGACATGATGAACGAAAAATAAATAAATAAATAAATCAGATATACTCGATCATGATCAATAATATTAAAAGCCTCTTTATATTCTTGAATTTGAGATTGATCAAACATGGCAAAAATATTTGAAGTAGCGCGTTGTTGGCGCTTTTTTGGTGGTTTAGCTTTAGCTCGTGATGCCATTGAAAATTTTCGATAAATAAAACTGAAAATTTGCACGAAATAAATAAATTTATATAAGAGAATCAATAAAATTTATCTAAAAAAGAAAAACAACATTCTTCACTTGCTTAGACAAACACCATTTTGTTTGAATCAGTGCAATTTTTTTTTTTTCTTTCTTCTGTTCTTTCTATTTATCCTTACATTGCTTTTATATAGGTCATCTCCCTGACCTACCATCATCGATCGACACTCCATACTTAATACCTTACTCAATTGGTTATATGAAAAAAATATTGAACACGAGACTTCTGTGTTTGTATTCCAAAATGACAAAGAAAAAATTCAGGAACAACAAAATACTGTTATCATCAACGAAACAACAGCTATATTTCTGAGTGTAAGACAAAAAAAATAGGACAAAACTATATAAAGAAAAGAAAAAAGAAGTTATACAGGAAAACAAGAGAGACAACTGCACATACTTCAGGGTCATTTCATCAAAAAAGAAAAGAACAAAAAAATCTATTAGCAATTAAAGTTT